ATCTAATGAACTTCACTTCACTCGTTTAAGAATTGGATTTTCTCAATTGAATGCTGACCTATTCAGGTACACCCTTATTTCTGATCCATCATGCACATGCGGAGAAAAGGAAGCACAAAATCAATTTCTTCTGATCTTTGGGAAATACCATAAAGCTCGCAAGAAATTGATGAGTACTATTAATTTTATTTTGGGCACACAAATTATTCTCTCTCTGCACTTTCTGCTCTTTGGTTCAAGGACTTGTCTATTGTACTTAGAAAAAGTAAAAGTATTTATAAGGCCATCGTTGATTTCATTAGAGAGTCTAACCATTTTGCGACGTAATGTTACTTCTCTTACGTGAAAATTCTTTATACTTCACTTACGCAGTTGCCACAGAAAATCACCCTCATCTGCTCATCTCTGAACTCTACTTTGCTTCTAAAACTGGGAATCGACTGAATAGTTCCTAATCCTGGACGTGCATGAATACCTGGTGAAATACGTATATTAATCACTTCAACTTTTGTCAAATACTGTTTTGATAGTTTCAAACAAACTGCTGAACTAAGTCCTGGAACTGCCGAGGCACCACTAATTAGAGTAATACTCGATTGAAGTGCTCGTTGATGTAATTTATGTGGAAACATAGTTACAAATGCTCGCGAATCTGCTAAATCAATATAATGAATTGTATTCTGTACACACGTTTCAGCCACATAATAATTTTGAAATTGAAAAGGTCCCGCACAATTACAGCTACTGACGGTTTCAATTTCAGTAGCTGTTCCTGCAGTTGATCCGTGTCATGTAGATCAAACAATGTTGAATATAGCCTTTTACTTATCGATTGCTGCTGTTCAACAACGTGTTTATTTGCTTGCTTTAAAATTTCTACTTTAATTTCTTCTGAACGATGTCTACCTGCTATCCAAACGGTGTAACATTTCGCTAATAGTTGGCTTGTCATTCTAGCCCCAAACAATCCATATCTGCCTAGTATTAGTATTTGGACTGTATAGCCGAGCTTGACCGATAAAGCGGAATATGATGCTGCGGACTGTAAATCAGGTTGACATGTACTTCTGCAATAAGATCGAACTTGTATCTGAAACTGTCCTCCACTACTAGTTTTTTTAAGTAGCTCTGATTGTTTTGTCTGATACTGAATGCTTGAATTATGTCTGGTTTAGCGAATGTCTGAATTTCATCACTATATCCTCCTACATAACAATTTGTATCATTCATTAACTAGCATGTTAATTTATTCACTGGAGCTGCTACAGATACATCAGACGAAAAATTGCATTTTAATTGGTGATAAAGAATGACCTATTGTTTCAATTAGATGATCGTTTTCGAGAAATTGTATTGTTTCAAATTTATGGATGCGATTGGGATCTAGATAATAGAAGTGACGAATCCGTGTTTCTGAACCATCGGCATGCTGCTGAATGGTGACTGATACCTCGGCATCCTTTGCTGGAGGAGATGCACCATCAGCGCCAGCTAATATACATGAAAGCCAACCGTGTCCTCGTTTAATAGTTACTGTACCTTTACATTGCTGTGTTCTAACTTCAGCCTATTCACAATGAAATAATTGTAATAATTCAGGTAATTTCTCAAATTCAGAATATCCTAACACTCGAGCATACAGCCCCTGTCCGAAATTTGGCACGGTATAATTCCATCCGAGCGTTAGTCGATGTAATTGATTAAATACAGAAGATCGAATACTGAATGGAATAGCTTGAATAATAAAGTTTCTGAGATGAATAAGTGCTGTATTTGTTTATATTTGACCTATTGCTGCAATTGCATAGCTAGCGAATTGAACCAGTTTTATATGATATTTACGTTTTTGCACATATTGTTGTAGAGCTGACTCGAATTTCGTGTGATTTGCTTCATGTACGCTGTTCTTAATTCAGACGCTAATTGTAATGAGTCTTGAACAGCCAATATACCGCCTAGTGCTAAATTAGGAGGAATTGCATGAGCAGAATCACCGATATATTTAACACGCGAACGCAAATCTGTCCATTGTTTCCATGACAATTCAATTCTATAAATAGGTGTGTACAATAATTCATTAGAATCAATAGCTGTTATTATGTCTGATATAGGAGTATGCCAATTAAAAAATCAAATTTGCAATTCAAATTTAGTCAATTGATTGGATTTTAATGTTGGATTTACCATCTTTTTTGATGCAAATCAAAATGCATTAGGTGGTTGTAAAGGTGCATAAGCAAACCAGGTACCTGGACCCCAACTTTCAAATGCAGTTGTTGGATCAGATTGACTGAAACTCAAGGAAGGTTGAATAGACTGATAATTTATTATGGATCTCCAATAACTATATCCACAATAAATAGGTTGTATTTCAAATCTGAGCTTATTTCTAACTGCTGAATTAATTTCATCATCTGCAGCAACTAAACTACCAGAATAATTTAAACCATTTTAGAACGTTATTGTTACTGATTTATTTTTAAGACTGATAGATTTGAATTTACGATTTGTATGTATATGTTCGGGATTTAAACTATCCAATAACTCTGATCACCGCATAGTAAACACACACAAGAAGTAAATGAACTGATTAATGGATGTGGCTTAGCTAACAAATTATCGGTATACGATTCTCTGTGTCCAACACATATCATTAATTGACCTTTTGAATACAATTTATCTGTAATTCCTAGTGTATATAAGGCTCATAATGCATGGCCCCATAACCCACATTCCAATGCCTGCACGTTTATCTGACTGTAGTTGAGTTGACAACAATTTGAATGGAATTTTCGCTATTGTACACGCTGGAGCTGGTGTCAGACCAACTACCCCACCTTCAATTATGAGTACAGGCAACGGAGAAGATGTATCTGTATGCATATGAACATAATTAGGTGTCAATACAACAGATGGATTTCCAGTAAATAATATAAATTTGATATGATGTTGTGGAACTATTAATTGAGGAAGACGTATTAATCAAAGACCAGTTAACTTCCACATGTCTAAAATCTGTTTGGTTTCCCGTTGGACAGTATAGCATCTGTTTATGTTTCTAAAACCAATAGTTTATTCCGTGAAATGTGAACACTTCAAGAATATAATTTTATTGTTTACTTCTTACTAAAAATTTTCTGAATAATTCTGTTCGATGTTACTCCTGAGTTGAACTATGTGGAACCCCAAAATAAAAGTGCTGTGGCAGGCTGGGGTTGAGGTCACTGGATTCAGGGAACGCCCATCTCAGGAGTCGATGAGCTTTCATGAAGTTTTATAACGGTAGTTATCACATCTCGAAGAATGTTTGCGGAGAAAATGCAGAGCAAAGGCTGCACAAGCTTGAAAATATAAAAACACAGAAAAATATTAGGCTCTGGTATTTTTATGCAATCGTTTGCTAGATAAGACACACCTATGCTAAAAGACTGAAGGACATATTTTGAGAACTTTTGCTGG